TTTTTTTTTTTTTTTTTTTTTTTTTTTTTTGATTTTTTGGGGGGGGGGGGGAGTTTCTTCCAAAAATTTCCTGTGGTATCCCACGATCGCCTCTTAGCAAAACTGGCTAACTGCGGCCTTGACCTTACTACAGTCTGCTGGCTGGGAAATTGGCTCCGTGCTAGGACCCAGAGGGTGGTGGTTCACAGAAGTCAATTGTCGTGGTGCCCTGTGACAAGTGGGGTCCCCGAAGGCTCTGTCCTTGGGCCTGCGCTATTCAAGATCTTCGTTAATGATGTGGACATAGGTGTCAGAAGCAGACTGGCCAAGTTCTCCGACGACACCAAACTCTGGGGTAAAGCGTCCACACCTGAGGACAGGAGGGTGATCCAGGCTGACCTTGACAGGCTCAGGAAATGGGCGGATGAGAACCTGATGGTGTTTAACATTGAAAAATGCAAGTTTCTTCACCTTGGGAAGAAAAACCTGAAGCATGCTTATAGGCTTGGCAGTGCTATGCTGGATAGCACTATAGGTGAAAGGGACTTGGGGGTTATGATTGACCACAAGATGAGCATGAGCCTTCAATGTGATGCTGCGGCTAATAAAGCGACCAAAACGCTGGCTTGCATCCGTGGATGCTTCTCAAGCAAACCCCAAGACGTCGTTCTCCTGTTGTACTCAGCCTTGGTGAGGCCGCAGCTGGAGTACTGCATTCAGTTTTGGGCGCCACAATTCAGAAAAGATGTGGAAAAGCTTGAGAGAGTGCAGAGAAGAGCCACACGCATAATCAGGGGTCAGGAAAACAGACCTTATGATGAGAGGTTGAGAGCCATGGGACTCTTCAGACTGGAAAAGCGCAGGCTCAGGGGTGATCTGGTGGCTGCCTGTAAGTTTATCAGGGGTGCTCACCAGGACCTGAGGGAACGTCTGTTCACCAGAGTGCCTGAAGGGATGACAAGGTCGAATGGTCACAGACTCCTCCATGATCGCTTCAGGCTGGACATAAGGAAGAACTTCTTTACTGTCCGAGCCCCCCAGGTTTGGAATAGGCTGCCACCAGAGGTGGTTCAAGCACCCACTTTGAACTTCCTTCAAGAGACATTTGGATGTTTATCTTGCTGGGATCCTATGATCCCTGCTGACTTCCTGTCCCTGGGGTAGGGGGCTGGACTCAATCTTCTGAGGTGCCTTCCAGCCCTAATGTCTATGAAATCCTCCATAATGTCAGCAAAGATGAGTCAGAGCAGGTAGATTAGTAGGTTATTAGCTAGTTTTGAGGCTTAGATAATGAAATAAAGCACTTTTTGTGAAGAAGTTCTTACTGTTTTGGTCTCTTAATTTGATTTATGATCTGTGGATTGCCATGTATTGTCAGGGGGTAACTCTCTGTCTCATTTTAAAAGGACAATGAGAAGAAATTTGCATACAATATAAATAAAGTGTATGTGTATTTAAAGATTGTCGCACATACGACAGAATGTGAAATGCTTGCATAAATATTTAAACTTTAATGGAAGAACAGATTTTTGACTGGCATTAAATGTTTAGTTTCAGTATTAGCAATCAAAACAAGTATTTGAGAATCAGATGGTTAAACTCGCTTGTCTCTATTCCATCATCCAAATTATGGTTAGAGATCCAAGTACCTTATAATTGCTCTGTCAAAGGGCTTGTCTGGGTTGCAAGCCTTCTGCCAGTAGCTAGCAGTTGCCTCTGACTGCCACGTGTGCCATTTGTGTTGGCATGGTGCACAGCAGATGCTGGGAGGCATTTGTAGTTAAGGGGGTGCTGGTAATCAGCGTGAAGTGCAAGGGGTGCTTAAAGCAACTTTGGTTGTTGGCAACAGAAGCTTTCTGTCTCTCACTGGTCTGGGGTTACACTGCTGGCAAAACAGCCCAAGTAATGTTGGAGACCTGTCTTGGTTTGTTTAGACTGTGGCTGTGATGCACTACTGCTGAGGATGTTATCCCCCTGCTGGTCTCCAAACATGGAAATACAGCAGTGAGGCTGCTCTAGGCTTGTCCCCAGTGACTCCATTCAAATATGCTGGAAGCTGACTTCATACACACTTCAAGGGGACACCCTCAGCATCTTTGTAGGCCTACATTCAGGTTTGAAGCATGCCTGCAGGTGCCACTGTATGGAGATATTTCAGTAGCAGTGCCTTGCTGCTACGGTTAAGACATGCCCTTTGTCTCTGGAAGAGCCTAGAATTGGGAAGTTTAGGTCCCTCACCTCTGTGGCAGAAAGCCACCTTGGTTTCTCCCCAAAAATCTCTGCCCTGTGACACTGTGATTTAAATCTCTGTGCTGTGACCATTCAATTAGGATGGGCCCAGCACACAGGGGACCACACCCTCAGCCTGTCTCTTTAGGGAACT